CACAGCAGGCTGTCATGTACTGTTTGTGTTTGGTTCACTGAATCGCGCATGCGCAGTATTATCGGTTAACCGCTTCTCAAATTTGATCTTAGTGTAATGTTACTCTTCTAATAACTGAATAAAAGTATACATTGGATAATTTAGTCAGAGTCAGAGAGTTAATAGAGTCAGAGGGGGTATTAGGCTTGTTAAAAAGTAAGTCGTTTGTGGATAAGTGCTTACTGGTGACGCAAATCATTCCAAATGATTCAGTTACTTAGTTAAAACGAAAGAGGTTTTTGCTATAATTTTAGTTAGTTTCAGTTTGTTTTGTATGTACACAATACACTTTCAGTTAGTTCTAGTTTTTTTTAAACTGTCGTTTTTATTTTCATTTCAGTTTATAAGAAAGCAAGTCAGCGCCTCTATCTCCTCCGCAAATTGAGAAGTTTTAATGTTAGTACACAGACTTTAAACTTGGCATATAGATCACTTATAGAGAGTGTTCTCACATATAATATTGTTTCATGGTTTGGTAACACAACACTTAAACAGAAAAAGAAATTAGCGCAAATTATCAATCAGGCAAATAAGATAACTGGTCACAAACAGCATTCATTGCAGATTTTGTTTGACTCTTTTATGAAAAAAAGAGCAGTTGTGATTTTTAAAGATAATACACATCCCCTTCACTCAGCATTTGAATTGCTACCATCAGGACGCAGGTTTAGAATTCCTAAAGCACGAAGAAATGCCTATAAAAAGTCATTTATCCCAATGGCAGTTGTTGTTCTAAACCGGATCAATGTTTGTAGTGAATGAGGTGGTTACCAAGTATGATTTGCATTATTGTGTATGGGGCTTATTTGGTTTTTAAACTTTTAACTGATGTTGTTGTGTTGATAAGTGTTATTGTGTCGTTGTTGTATGTTTGTAATTGTTGTCCTAAATCCAGTGTTGAAGAAAAATTTCCTTTCTGTGTCAAGCAGAACGGACAATAAAGTTTAAACTTTAACGACAATTATTTAAAATTTTAGTTTTCGTTTTTTGTTCATTGTTGAACTATAAAAATCTTGTTTCAGATAAACAATAATGTTCACGTTGCATGTTTTGGCAAACATATTATGATATTTTTATGCTTTAGAAGATTTAAAAACCACATACAGCGCCTTTAACTTGTAATCGTGTAATCCACAATAAAGTAACTACAAGTATTTAAGTAAAAATACTTGATTTTTTTGGAATCTGATTACTTTACACATAATCTGTGTGTAATAAACTGTTAATAAGCTCAAGCATTCAGGGATATGAAAATTCTTTATTAAATCCATTAGTTGTACATTCATGTGTAAACACCACTGGTATGAGGCAGACAGAAGCTAACAGGAGAGAAAGTTTGCATGCTCCCTAAATAACCAGCTGGCCTGCAAAGATGTTTTTTCCTATGAAATGAGCCACTTTTCAATCTGTCAAATCCATGATCACAACACTCATTTGAACAGGTCGATACATTGGCATGTGCAAAACAACATGATGATTATCATCTGATTATGGCCTTGATAATGGGCACTTCGTGACACAAACAAGCTTCCAGGCCATTCTATTGACTATCACATGGCAGAGACGACTTGAATAATCGTAACTGGTTATTATATATTTCAATATATGAAAAGAGTATTGGTGGAAAACGGGAACAGTACCACAGCGGTTTTATAATCAGTACTTGCAGAGGAATGTTCAATAATTACTGTAAATCTATGAAAGATGATTAAGGTGCTACAAGGTAAATTGAAAGACTGGTTCAACAAACATGGCTCGGCTTTTATTCTTCACATATTGGTCATTTATTAGACTGTGAAAGAAGGAGCATTAAAAAAGTATCAAATTGTTTTGCTTTGTCCTAACATGTCAGCACTCTTATAAAACACAAAGTCATTACAGTGAAGCAAAATCTTATTGTCTTTTTAGATCATTTTCAGTTAGTCAGCCCCAATGTCTGAAGTGTTAGTAACACTGTAAGGGTATTACATATTTGGCAGAGATTTGCTTTTAATTGTTTTGACATATATATATATATATATATATATATATATATATATATATATATATATATATATATATATATATATATATATATATATATATATATATATATATATATTTCAAATATTTACTTTTTTGGTTCACTGCTTTGCAAACAGGGTCTATAATAAAAAAAAAAGTAAAATCAGAGATCTCACTAGCAAAATACAACTGACAATGTTACTAATTATGAAGTATTATTTTTATTTTAGACTTTACTGTTTAAAGCTTCAGGATCAGTTAGATTTTTCTTCAAAGAAAGGAATGGGGAAAGGACACATTAATTTAATTCAAAATCACATAGTAGATGAAAAAATTTTTTTTTAATATTCATTCATACACTACCTGACAAATAGTCTTGTCACCTATCCTTGTTTTAGGAACAACAAATAATAACTTGACTACCAGTTGATCATTTGGTATCAGAAGTGGCTTATATGAAAGGCAAAGGCCTCTAGATTACACTTATTTACCAAAGTAAAATTTGATCATACCTTGATTTTTAATTATTTAATTAGGACAGTAAGGTCTGACTTTGCTTAGACAAAAGTCTTGCGACTTAACAGAAACAATGTACAGTATAGAATATAAAATCATGGTGCAGTGTAAAAAGAATGAATATTTTTTATGACTCCCATGAGCTTGGGGGACTGTTTAATAAAAAAAAAAACACTACCCAACACTGACAATATTATTCTTGTGTCTCGATGATCATAATTATGAGACATGTTCCTGGATTATCATCTTTGTTGATCCTGGAACAACATTCCAATCGACCAATCAAAATTGAGGGATATGTTTACAGTTTATGTTAAGTTATGTTATGTTAAGTTAAGGCTTACGGTTAGGTTTATGCACCTCTAGATGATTGTTATCCAACTATTATTTCCCTCTGATTTTGGAAATATTTTACAGTTATGGTTGGGTTTAGAGGTAGGGAATAGGTATGGATTACATTTTTAAACAAAAAATGATGTTCCAGGATCAACATAGATGTTAATCCAGAATCGCATCGTACTTGGCAAAATCATGACGTGCGTCAAAATCAGGCTGATATCGTGCGGTCAATCCCTAAACTCCTAAACAATATGGGAATATTTAGATATGTAGTCATTGCATATTCCAGTCAAACAAAATTGTGCCATTTTATTTATTTTTTGCTGATCTAATTTTGGTGCTTTAACATGAGAAATATTCCACATATGTGTCTCCACATGGAGTTTTGGAAAACGAAAACAACTCTATGCATCCCAGATAAACTTATGATAGAAAACTCTCGTACTGAGGTAAAAGTTGTCAGACATGTTGTAATGTATTTAATGTAAAAAAAACAAACATATTATCAAGCCAGGCTCATTCTGATTATGTACCCCTATATATATTTCTGGAGAGCGCACAATATGTCCCAGGAGCTACGTTTTTTGCAGTTTTTGTTTTGGCGAATCCACCAGAGGCCGCTGTGTACGCTTTTTGAGATCTCAAATTTCTTCTGCGAATGTCATTCATGCCTGCTGTTCTTACGTAAATGCACCAGAGGCTGCTGTCGACTGACTGATCGGCTGACCCAACGTTCTCCTTCTCTACACCCAATCCAGTAGCAGCGCAAACTTAACTGTACAAAACTGGATGAAAGTGAAGAGCGAGGGGTTGTGGATGTTGTTGTCGCGGATAAAAGTGAAGAGCGGAGGGGGGTGGTATCTCCATGCTGCCCCTAGCAAGATGCTGACATTTGTACCGCCCTTTTGCGGACTAAAATGAAGAGCAGGGGGGATGTGTCTCCATGGCGCCCCTAGCAAGACACGGATGTTCGCACCACATTTTTGTGGATGAAAGTGATGAGCGGGGGGTGGTGGTGGTGGTAGAGAGGGGAGTGTCGAGGGGGCTGTGGGTGGGGGTTTAAAAACCTAAATGTTAAAGGTGGGGATGCACCTAGCAAAATGTCCACATTGCCCATGACGAAATCCGTCACTGACCCAACCAATAGTGTTTTCAAAATCGTAGATTGACCGACCCACTTCCCTAAATCAAATTGACAGTGTTTTCAAAAGCAATACAGAAAACAACAAGCCCTTATGGCCACCTAAATTTTACTACATTCTCACCCTGTTATTTACATGTTTATTTAATATTTTTGGCTTCTGTTTTAGTTTTACCTGCTTTCTGGAACCGTTCTTCACCGGACTTGAACCTTGTCATCGCTGTCATCTCGGCTTTGCATCTCAAGTCCACTGACGTATGTGGCAAGTCACTGGACAAACCAGTAATAGTGGAAAAGCCATCCATAGGACAGTAAGCAGTCAGCTGGTAAGTGCGCAAAGGAACAGCTTCATACCGCCCTGTAGCGTTCATTTCAAAGAAGAAATGCAGCCATACATACCTCTGGCTACATAATTTGCAATCTCCAGAAATATATAAAGGCCTACATTTTTAGAATGAGCCTATGTTGCATATTATGTTGCCATTCCGATTTGAAATACCAGCGAACTAGAGAGTGTTAAAGGGATAGCTCACCTAATTAAGTATAAATTCTCTCATCTTTCATTTGTAACACAAAAGAAGATATTTTAAAAAATGTTGGAAACCAGTGACTTCCATAGTGTTTGTTTTCCCTACAATGGATGTCAACGGGTACTGGTTTCCATCATTCTTTATAATATCAGACAGGTTTGTGACCATTGAAAGGTGAGTACATGATGGTGAAATATTCATATTTTGGTGAACTACCCCTTTTATTTTGAACCCTGTACATTATGCAATTAGTTTGGCTCTACACTTGATGATACACAGCAAGAAATCACATCTTATGTCTTTCAAACTTGACTTCCCGATCAAAAGTCATGTGCTCAATGTCTTTTTCCAGGCATATCTACAGTACTGGTGATTATAAAGACAAACTCTCACAATAATTAATGCTTATGACTGCAGGGTGTTACAGTTGATTGATATTTCAAAATATTTTCTTTAATTACTGAAAATATGTCCATGGATATACGTACTGTGTTTAAATGCAATGCCATATAGGAAGTTTTACAGCATACCTCACATTATTCACATAAAAGTCCTGTTCACTTGGCTTCAGGAATCCCGTGCAGGATGTCTGTGTAAACTGTTGGGAGTAAATCAGTTTTGATGGACAGTGTTCTGCTCTTTGCTCCGCTCCTGCAAGCCAAGATCTCGTTCTGCGACCTCTGAATATGCAGAAGGCAATGCGGTTATACTGGCCGATGCTTCTGCCGCCTGGTTGCCAGCTGGACCTTGTGAGCCCGGACTAACTCTGTTTTCAGCCATAAGTGGACTGGTCAAACCCAGATTGCTCAGAGCGTCCAATGTGCCATCAGGGTCCACCATGATATCAATAACTGCCAATTAAAAGAAAAATACATTATAAAATACAGTACAAAATACAAAACTATCTTCAGAAAAAAATTACCAAAACGGATATGCCATTAATTGACATGTTTATCTCACGTTTTAAGTGCTCATTTTTATGCTAGTGTAAATCCGCCGGTCCTACCCCACTCAACCCGCTCCAAGCTGGTATTGAACCTGCGACCTTCCGCAAGGGAGTCTGTAACAAGGAGGCTAAAGACCATGGCCTCTAGTGTCTATCGCTAGAGCTCCTTTAGAGGTCAGAGGAGTGAGGTTTACCTGCAAATAACTTACTAGCTGGCCTCCGTTACACTAGTACTGGTAATGTGTCTTCAAAATAAGAATATTATCATTTACAGCAGTGGTTCTCAAACTTTTTTCATCAAGTACCACCTCAGAATAAAAACTGTCTCTCCAACTACCACCATATTGAGCAGTATTGAAATACAGTAGCGTAGTAAGCCCAGTAAAGCTCTGTACAATTCAAAAATGAGGCAGATTAATTCCTATTATTAAGAATATTATTCTCAGCTACTTTAAACATTTAAACTTTTTGAACATTAATCCTGAACTGTGCTTACAGGTTAAACAAAAATAATTAAATAAAAAAGGTCAACATTTAAATTGAAATGTGCTTTTAAAAGTAATAAATGATAGTTTACTGTTCTTAAAAAGTAAAAAAAAAAAAACTCCTGCACTTGAATGTAAAGTATAAACACCTGTAAATATGGGCTATATGGGTAACACTTTACAATAAGGTTCAATAGTTAATGCATTTACTAGCATGAACTAATCATGAACAACACATGTACAGCATTTTTAAATCATAACTGAACATTTACAAATGCATTATGAACATCCAAGTCCATGCTTGTTGACATTAGTTAATGCACCATGAGTTAACATGAACTAACAATGAACTACTGTATTTTCATTAACTAACGTTAACTAACATGAACAAATACAGTAGTAAATGTATTGTTCATGGTTTGTTCATCTTAGTAAATGCATTAATTAACATCAACTAATGAACCTTATTGTAAAGTGTGACCGCTTTATGTCATCATATTTTTGTTATCATCGTTTTAAATATATGTATGTACATTTGACCAATTTGATTTCTCTGCGTACTACTACACTCTTAGAAAAAAAGGTACGCGAGCTGTCACTGGGGTGGTACAGTAGGTGAGAGTTCAAAGTGGCTATTAACGCCGCAGCGCCGCCGTTTGAAATAGGTGCCGCTCTGTTTTTAGTGTATGACCGCAGTTTGCGAATGAGCCGCCAGGGGGCGCAAAGGGACGGGATGCGAACGGACAGAGATAGCCCATACAGCAGCTTTAAATATGCTACTGTGCTTGTAAATAATATTAAACAATAAGTCAAAGCATTATAATTCCTTCATTAATCATTTAAATATGTTAACTCGCTTTATTGTAAACTTTTTAAGTGCAAAGAGGATTCGTTTTGGAAAATAGAATTGAAGAAGTAAAAGACAACTAAAATGAAAGCACAAACATTTAGTACAAATAAGTAGTCTTAAATAAATAAATAAATAAATAAAGCAGCCTAAATATAGAAAGATGTTCAGTGTTTGCTATTTTGATAGGACTAAGACAAGACTTTTTAAAAGGTACAGATTTGTACCTAAAAGGTCCATATTATTACCTTTAAGGGTTCATAATAGTACCTAAAAATTTTAAGAGGAACACTTTTGTACTTTTTAGGTACTAAAATGTACCTAAGGTATTAATATGGACCTTTTAGGTACAAATGTGTATCTTTTAAAAAGGTACCACACTAGTGACAGCTCGCAAACCTTTATTTCTGAGAGTGTAGAAGTAAGCCCGCGCACCACTAGTGGTACACGTACCACAGTTTGAGAACCACAGATTTAGAGCATTTATATGCAGAACATGAGGAGGTCAGTGTATCATTTTCCATGTTTTCAGATGCTAAAGAGATAGTTCACCCAAAATTCTGTCAAAATTTACTCATTCTCCACTTGTTTCAAACCTGTTTGGGTTTCTGTTGAACACAAAGGATGATATATTAAAAAATGCTGGAAAAAAAAAACAGCCATTGACGTGGTATATTTTGATCCTAGCTTCATTTTCCATTCTGCAGAATATCTTGACATTCATAAAGGTGTAGATGTCAGGGTTCTGCCACTCCGGTCTTGTAAATTCTTGTTTTGGTGGCAGAGTCAAGACACTAGTTCTGTCTTGTCATGTATGTTGTGCTCGGCTCGAGTTTTCTTGGGTCAGCACTCCTTCTCTGTCATTGTGTGTCTCTGTTTGAGTGCTGTCGTGAGCGAGCAAAGGCCATACGCACTCCCTCTTGATGCGGGCGTTCGGAGTGTAGGACGCGCACTTTTGTACTCGTGTTTGTGTTTGTTCTGTCGGCGTTGCGCTGTTTCATTCTCAGCGTCTCAGTCTAGTTGGTTTCGGTTGGCACTGAGATGAAACGTGCATTTCACATGTGTGAGTGCACGTTAGGTGTTTTCATTTATCGTATGCTCGTGTCTTGCGTCTGTTTATGTTGGTGTTGTCTAAGCACGTGGCTCTGTGTTTACATTGTGGCCGCATGCTTTAAGCTGCAGTCACACTGCACTTTTATCCCCATAGACTTACAATATTTAGATAATTATTTATCTTAAATAATGAGGGATTTTAAATTAAACATTTGCAGAAATAATTTAAGGCATCGGCTATTAAGATATGACTGTCTGCAAAATGTTGATTAATTGCTGTATGAAAATAAATCCCAAAAAAACAAATGAGATATTTTTCGTCAATACTATACATCCCAGCCACCAAGTCAACTAATGGAAATCAATCATTCAGTCAATTAACAAACAAGCAATAAACCCTTGGATTTATACTCCAGAGACCTTGCAGGACAGTAATACTGTAGAGAACATTGTGTTTTTTTTTAAAGAGTCAAATAACATCATAAATTTTAAAGTCACAGAGTATCTTGAATCATTTTTGAATAGTAGTTCTTCTCAGGTCTTTAAATAATTTAATAAAAAAATACAAAAAACATGAACAAAGGGAGAAAAAAGACCAAAACAACTACAAATTTTCACAGTAAACTGACTATATTCATTCATTCATTTTCTTTTCGGCTTAGTCCCTTTATTAATCCGGGGTCGCCACAGCGGAATGAACCACCAACTTATCCAGCACATTTTTTTTCACGCAGCGCATGCCCTTCCAGCCGCAACCCATCTTTGGGAAACATCCACATACACTCATTCACTCTCATACACTACTGACAATTTAGCCTACCCAGTTACCCTGTACCACATGTCTTTGGACTGTGGGAGAAACCGGAGCACCCGGAGGAAACCCACGCGAACGCAGGGAGAACATGCAAACTCCACACAGAAACGCCAACTGACCCAGCGGAGGCTCGAACCAGCGACCTTCTTGCTGTGAGGCGACAGCACTACCTACTGCGCCAACCACTGACTATATTTATAAAAAAAAAAGACAAACGCCCACTAAACACATACATATTTAGACTACTCTTCTGATCTTTATGGTCAGTAACTTTGTTTTAAAATAAAATTCTATATTTATTTAGCAAGGATGCTTTAACTTGATAAAAAGAGACGTCAAAGACATTCATAATGTTAATTCTGAACTTTGAAATACGGTTAACACTGAAAACAATGAATAAATTATGATTTCCGAAGGATCATGTTGACACCAAGGACTTTTAAAGATTTATTCAGTTTCACTCTCACAGGAAAAAACATTGTTTTTTAATATATTCAAATTTATTATATTGTTCAAATAATATTTCACATTATTATTGTGTTTACTTTAAATAAATGCAGTCTTGATGAGTATGAGACTTCTTCCAAAAACCCAAGCTAGCGTATTAAAAGTATTAAATTGTTAAACAGGTTTGAAATGTTCAGAAACTTTTTGGCTTGGTAATGGTGATATTCTCAAAACTGGAACAAGTGGCACGACTTTTAAAAACTGAACAGATTTTAAAGCACCAGGCAACTCAGACTTTGTAAACGGTCACAAAGAAAAACTGGGCACCACACACTAAATCTGAACATCACACATATCCATGCTTTAAAGCTTGCACTTTAAAAATAAATAAAGATAATAATAAATCCACTTCATGCTAGTTCAAAAAGTTGCATTAAAATGCTGCATGTTGCAAAGCAAACATTAAATCCATAACAACAGTCAAGAATATCTCAGTTCTGCTTACCGAGCAGCTGTCGCTCCACTCTCTTCAGATTCTGTAGTATGGAGGAAATCTCCTGAGGGTGATCAAATGAAAAAAAAAAAATGAATAAAAAGTGCCAAAACTTAGAAATGACCTTTACAGTTAATTTAATGAGAAATTAAGTCATGCTTTAAATAGGAAAGTTAACGAAACTCTGTAAAAAAATTTTATCTAGATGCTAAAGGGCTAATCTAATTCAGCAATTTATGCTACACTATGCTAAAAGTACCTACCCATATTAACTTAGAAAATAGCAACTTTTAATTTTCCGTCGGTCTTAGTAGCAATGTAACTACAGAAGAGTAAAGCTTTAGATAAGTAAATTATCATTACTCTTTGGTCATTTTAAAGTGATAAGCTAATGGTCTATTCTGATTCAATGATCTATGCTAAGCTATGCTAAAAGTTCCTACCCATATTGACTTAGAAAATTGCAACTTTTCATTTTCCATCAGTCTTAGTACGCAATGTAACTACAGAAAGTCAAGCTTTAGATAGGAAAATTATCATTACTCTTTGGTCATTCAAAAGTGATATGCTACCCTGCTGAAAAATCCAGCTTAAACCAGCCTAGGCTGGTTGGCTGGTTTTGGCTGGTCAACCAGGCTGGTTTTAGAGGGGTTTTGGCCACTTCCAGGCTGGTTTCCAGCCATTTCCAGCCTGGTCTTAGCTGGTTAGGCTGGGAGATGACCAGCTAAAACCAGCTAGACCAGCCTAGCAGGCTGGGAGCCCAGCCAAAACCAGCTATGTCCAGCTTAAACCAGGCTGGTTCAATGATCTGTGCTAAGCTAAGCTAAGCTAAGCTAAAAGTTCCTACCCATGTCGACTTAGAAAATAACTTTTCATTTCCGTATGCCTTTGTACACAACGTAACTACAGAAAAGTCGATCTTTAAATAAGTAATTTATCATTACGCTTCGTTTTAAAGCAATAAGCTAATGATCTAATCTTATCCATTGATCAATACTAAGCTACGCTAAAAGTTCCTACCCATAATGACTTAGAAAATAACAACGTTTTCCATCGGTCTTAGTACACACCGTAACTACAGACGAGTCAAGCTTTAGAGAAGTAAATTATCATTAATCTTTGGCCATTTTAAAGTGATATTCTAATAGTCTAATCTGATTCAATGATCTATGCTAAGCTAAGCTAAAAGTTCTTAACCTTATCGACTTTGAAAATAACTTTTGATTTTCCATCTGCCTTATTACACATCATAACTACAGAAAAGTTGGGCTTTAAAGTAAATTACCATCACTCTGGTCATTTCAAAGTAATAAGCTAATGGTCTTATCTGATTCAATGATCTATGCTAAACTAAGCTAAAAGTGCTCCAGACCCGAAAAATTGGCTGAATACATTTAAAAGTGGTAAAACTCAACTGTTTAACTTAGGTGAGTTGTAAAAAGACCTTACTCCCAAAAAGAAGTGGAGCGTATCTTTAAAATAAATTTGCTGTTGAATGTTCGGGTTCAAGGTAAACTCATTATGTAAAATAGCAGTGTTACCTGAGAGAGTTCAATTTAATTTCCTGTCAGCACTCGGATGTTGTGGTTGTTTGTGCTCTTATACTGCTCAACAGCTTTTTCATTTCACAAGTTTCACGAGTTCAGTTCAGGCCAGCCGGCATTACAGAGGTAGATTTACTGGCCTGTCAGTAAGCAGAGGTGATACGACTCGAGCCTGACAAACCATGAGTCAAAAGCTCAGTCTAATTAAACTGAGAGATCTTAAGTTGAGGCATCTGTGATGTATGAACTCTTAAGTCTACCAAAACATCAGGATTACTTCACTGAAACTGAATAAACAATCAGTTTCTTTCAAAGAAATGTGCAAATGTTTTATGTTTATTCACATAAAGGCGCCATATGCAGCATCAATTGAATACATTTTCTGATATCTATATAGTATGTGGTTTAGGTAAGCACAAAAATTTTACATGCTCATTTATTATCTCAAATAAACATAAAGTCTAGAAGGAATACAACTGTGGATATACACATCAACATAGAATTATTTCTGCGACAATGTAAAACAATAGTTACTATTATTATGCTGACGTAAGAGGTGGGTTTAAGGTTGAGGTAGGGGTCAACGTCAATAAAATGCAATCTAATGGGTAATTTAAGAAATAATATAAATAATTATTGTTTACTTCAGGATGTAGTTTAGTTCGACCATTTTTGGAAAGGTCGTGAATATTAATAAGCTCTGCTCTTATACTGCCAGCTCAGTGCCTCACACACACATACACACACAGCATGATGAACTCTAAAATAAATAACCATATTTAATATGTCAACGGAGAGCTTAAAGACGAAGTCCTAAAAGTTACTTTTTTCAAAACAAGAGTGCCAAAACCTTATATAAACATCGATCAATTTGAGAGTAAAATATTGTTGTACTCTCACTAGGAAACGTTATGCCCAATCAAATGCAGCCTGAGGCATTGCATTATAAAAGTCAGTGTTTTGTTAAGAGTGACTTGATTTTCACTGGGATTTTACACTCATGAGAATGAGAAAACAATGGTGTGTGAGATTCATGATGTGTAATTTCCATCTACTGAACTCTTATTGCTTAGCTATGCCTAGATATATCCAGATTTTTATTTTATGGCAGATTTAAGATGCATTTATCTATGTTTTAATCTGTGCTATTCTTTTTATGTTTTTAATAAAGAATATAACTATTTTGATTGAATTTTCATTATTTATTCATTGATTGTACTACTTTTATTAATTTATACAATGAAAACCTTGAAAATAATTGATAAATTACATGAATATTCTACTGCAGATCGTCATTCTGAGCGTCTTCTGCTGAAAAATATTCCCTTCTCACCTGATTAGAAGTCTTGAGGAGAAGCACCTCGTTTTCTGCCCGCAGTTTACTTTCAATTTCCTCCCACTTTCGGTCCTTGTCTTTGAATAAAATTCTGCGTGAGCAGTAATAAATCAAAATACAGCCTTCCAAAAAGACCTTCCAGAACTGAATGTTGTATTAAAAAGCATATCAATTTAAGGTCAGAGATGTTCAAGGATCATCCTTACAAATACAAATTTAAGATGAAAATCAAGATGAAAAAAAAACTAATCAAAAACAAATGATAGATGACAAATATAAAGAAAATTACAGTATAACTTTATAATTTATGACAGTAATGAATGATTAAATTAACAGGTTAACCCCCTCAGATCTGAATTATGTTAAAAGTTTTAGAAGAGAATACAGAAGCACATTTCCCCTGTTCATAAGGCCTCCATAAATGAAAATACAATAAAATACAAATTTCAATACTCAGTTGTTTTGTCCATTTCAATTGATGTCAGCTCAAAACACTGTTACACCAACTAAAAGTAACATAATACAAATGATGTTATTCGATGTTACAAATGGTTACAAACAATAAAATGTGTATAATATAATATTTTAAAATTTTTATAGACTGTAGATTATTAGAAACTACTTTTCATTAGGCCACACAAAATATTACATATTACATTGTAATGTGCTAATCTGCAATAGTCACATCGCAGTATGTTGAGTTGTGATTTTAATAACCAAGAATCACAGTTTAACCCCAATAGAGTGAAAAACTTTCATTCGAATGTGTTTTTAAGACCCATGACTAAGGCCCAATCCCAATTCCACCCCTTACCCCAACCCCTTGTTTTGCACGTTGCATTTATGCAATTAAAGCAATGCACAATTTCTATCAGACAGGGGCAAGGGCAGTGTACCTGATTTTGTTGGCTGTCTTTTCCACTGCCTGTTTGATTTTTGCTGAGAGCTGTGAGACTGATGCCAACAACAAACTGTCCAGAACACCCTGTGAATGCAGAATATGCGGAGAGCGACACTTTTTGTTATGCAGCCTGTCACTGTATGAAATGAGATGCATTCAGAGACACGGGTCAACACACTGTTTTTCTGTTAAAACAGAACCAAAAAATTTTCCGCGCCTCCTAGTGGTACACAAATAAATCGGAACTTCCGGTAATATACACTTACTGGCCACTTTAATAGGTACAGCTTTGATAAGAATAGTTATTTAATCAGCCAATTAAATTGCAGCAATTTAATGGATTTAGGCACATTGACAAGGTTAAGGTCCCTAATAGAATTGTCTGGTTAGTGTGTAATTATAAATACAAACAAACAGGATGGAAAAGCTATGAGACTATCTGCCAATAGTAAGAAGATTCACCTCATCTCTGCTCCAGGTCCTACGACGGATGGCACGGGGATCTTGACTGCTGATGGCACCACGAGGCCTAAGTTCCACTCCTCTGCCACTGATCTCTGGAGCGCTACCCAGAACATCCTCAAACACACGGTCCTCAACCTGAGGCAGGCAGAAAGAGGATCACTGAATACACAAGATTCACTAATATTTAGTTCTTTATGGAAAAACTTCCAGCATATCTCTAAAAATGCAGCATTATGCAGCATATCCTCATACAGTTTGTACAATATTCTAATTGTATCTAATATTCTCACAATAATGGCGCAAATTCATAATATCAAAAAGTCAAAATGCCTGCATACTTTTAATTAACTATTGAATTTATTCTGTGAACAATGCACGGTGTGCAAAAGTCCTTTATAGACTCGTCGATATGCATTGATATAAATCTTTACAGGCACCCAAAATTTAAATGGTCATATAAATATAAAAGACACCTATGGCTCTGGTAATGATGTAGCTATCTGCTTACTGAAGCCGAGGGAGCGGAGGAAGGACTAACGGAATCAATCTCGCCAGCAACATCATGGATTTCACGCGCTAACATTGCCAGATCTTTAGCCAGGTCTTGACTGATTCTGGAACAAAGGAACAAACAGTGAGACTTTTTAAGGCACAAGCTGTGATAGACAGTAGCGTCGCTAAAGATGATGAAGCTATTTGTGGCAACTGAAGAGGAGGAAAGAGAACAGGACTGAGAAAAGACCTGCAGTGCTGCTGCACCATATGCCGGAGCACTGACCACAAGGTTATAGCTATTAGTTTGAGTCTGATTGGGCTGGAGTTGCTCCAACAAACACTACAGTTCAAAACTAGTCATTAAGAATGCAAAATTAATTTTTTTCAGTACTTAATAATTTGTAAAAAAAAAAATCAAATCAAATGTATTTTTCAATAAATTGGCTACAAAATCATAAAATTTATATTGTTTCCACAAAAATGTATCAGTATGTGTCACTGCAGCCTGGGGTCCTCCAAGTGGAAGCTGCAAGTTGACTGGTTTAAGGCTAGATGACATACAGCTGTGGCTACTGGGTATGATGCAGCACATCAAAATAATGTCAATTTTGTGACACTCTTTAAAAACTATAATTGTTTTTGCATAACTGTAATGCCGAGTTCAGACTGCATGATTTTCAAAGTAGTCGTGTCATGGATGTTTTCACACTGCATGACTATCTGAGTTAGCGTTATGTCGGTGATGCTTACACTGTAGGATGGATCGGTGTCAGGAGAGTTCACACTGCATGAGTTTACAATAGGAAGAATCACAGACAACTTTGTCCAAACGACGTCGTATATCTTTGTTACTAATGGAAAAAGAAGGCTCTGGCTTTCGAAATTTGTGTTGCTCACCTGGTTTTGAAGAGAATTAACAATCTCTCCTCAACTTTTTTTTTACTTTTCGACCTGATTAAGATATTGATCAGATAACACGTCAAACAGACACAGGTGTTCCTGCCAAATTTTCCATTTCTTGACTCTTGAGTACAAATAAACTAATAATGAGTGCTTTTAACTTCTGCCGAAACCTCCCGCTGGCCTGCAGGTACCCGTACTAGTGAATGCTGCCTTCTCATTGGCTGTAGGTGACCGCTGATGTTATTTACAATTAGAAAACATTTCACACACCATGATTTGAACCGCCGAAAGCTCCAGATATTTAACATGCCAAATATCTCACGAGTATCTGCGACTCATCAACGATTCTCTCATATCGCATCCTTGATAGTTCATACTGTGTAGTTGTCACTCACGTAAGCACCGATTTGCCTGTGATTTCAGACATTTGTCTGCTTTTTCTCAAAACCTGTTGGCGAGTTAAAATCAGGGTTAAAATCATGCAGTCTGAACTCGGCATAAGGGGTAGGTTTAGGTTGGGTTAGGTGTAGACGTTAATAAAACACAATAGGTTAGGATTACAGGCAAGTTTAGGGTTGGGGTAGGGGGTGATGTTAATAAAACATAAGAGGTTACTTTATGGAGTAGGTTTAGGGTTGAGAAAGATTTACACTTTAATAAAAACTGTAAGAGGCAGATTTAGGGTTGGTGTAGATGTTGAAACTTAATAGGTTAGGTAGGTTTAGGGTTGGTAGTTGTAGACATTAACAAAACACAATAGGTTAATTTAGCATTAGGAGTAGGTTTTATGTTTAGGGTTACATAACACAATATGTTACCGTAAGGGGTAGGTTTAGGGATGGGGTTGATGTTATATGTATATGTTAATAAACAAAATAGGTTACAGTAAAGTTTGGGTTAGGGTAGGTTTAAATGTTAAAAAACACAAAATGTGTCATGTACAAGACATAGATCAATCAAGAGCCCAAAGTAGTTTGTACACCCCACAGGTGCTCAAGTCCCACCCATTTCGAGCTGACTCTCTTTATTAAATAAAAAAAATTAATTAAATAGCACAATTACTGATAATAGCCAAAAATGTTTATTGAGCATCTAATCAGCATCTAATTATGCCCAACCACAACTGTTAGCCATTACCTGGCAATCTCCTCACTGTGGGCAGTCCAGTCTCTCATGTAATCATCCTGCTCTCTGCTTGACTGGTGTCGTAACATGGACATGCCTCCAGGGCTGGGTGTTGCAGGGGCTGAACCACCCAGCTGGGTCACCCGTGGAGCCATTGGGCGTGGGCGTGTGTGGTGAGAGGGGTGTCGATTGGAGCCATACTCATCTTCTGAGGTAGAAGCATATTCAATCGGCACCCGGCGCCACCTTCCCCCAGCTACAACACAAAAACATTTAAGTGGAAATATTTTCAGAGAATTATCTTTTCTAGTACTATCTTTCTCAAGGTTCTGACCTGCAGGTGTACTTTGAACATGGAGAGTACCAGGACATTTATCAGGCAATTTGGAAGCACTGTTAGCTCTCGCTCTGGGGACTGCTGCAGTTGTCGAGACTCCAGTAGAGCGGAGACCAAGCCGAAGTGCGCTCTCAGGGGCAGGACGTGGGGCAAAGCCCCTGATCTTGCCTGATGTTGCCTCTGAGTCACTCCGAGCTGAAGGAGAGCACACTCTTGGTCTTCTTGGCTGAGCAAGAGCTTCAATCCGAGAGAGGGTCCTGCGTCCAGCTGAAGGTCTTGATGCAGAGCTGGCAGTAGATGCTTCTGATGCAACAGACATTCGATCAACATCAGCAAGATCAGTTTCAGAAGTTTCACCTAATCGTGCCCGCCGAAGAATGGAAGCCCGTGTCGGTCGAGGGCGGGGAAGTGTTGTTGGTTTAGAGGTGGGGGCTGCAGGAGTTACACTTGTCTTTGGTCCTTTGGTCTTGCCACTTGTTTGCTCAGCCTTAGAGCTGATATTTTGACCCCTACCCTGGGGTCGCTTTACTGAAGTAGCATCCTGGGCAAGGGAAGAGCTCAAGTCATCATCTGTCAGGTCAAGAGATGTCCAAGCTCTGGAACCAGCAGAACCAGAGGGCTGAGCTTTGCCCTTCCTTTCTGTAGCACCGGCGTTTTTATTTGTTGTTTCACGTCCAGCTAATCGCTTCTTTTGGGCTGTCTTACGACCTCCTTCTCCCCCAGCTTGGCTGACTGTACTTGTTGTATCAATGTCTGATTCGGGTGAGGCAGACCCCTCCAGGGAGTAGCTTGGGGGATCTGCTAGGTCTGATAAAGTGGTTTCCAGAAAAGCAGCCACAGCCTCTGAGTCTTTCTGCATTGTGGAAGCATCAATGACCTCACTGATGACTCCCATTTCCCTAGGTTGAGTTGAGGCACCAGGCCCATCAATGCAAGGAATGAGCTCTAGGGGGACATTAGCACTTGGCCGTTCCACTGTAAAGCTCTCTTGCCTTAGTAATGGCTTCCCTGTCTTCTCTTTGTCTTCATCTCCTTTTTTCCGTCTCCCATCTTCTTGTTTTTTCTCGATCTGACCAGCTTGAGCTCTTGTTTGACCAACTTTATTCTGTATTCTAGGTGGAGTTGGCTTGCTCACTTTAGACCGATCTTTTTCTGTGCAAGCCATTGCTGAAACTCTTGGTCCTGTCTTAGAAATTCTATTTAGCTGATCTACTTTCTCCTGAAGTTCTAGATCCTGTTTCTCCGATGAAGAAGCTGTTTGCCCAAACTGTCTCTGTGTGACCTCAGGAGCCAGTGGATCCATAGTAGAATCTTCAGAAGGGAGCTGCGGTAGTGTCCTTCTCTTCCTTTCAGATGCTTTTGTTTCTGCCGTTGAAACAAACAAACAAAAAATGGTCAAAATAAAACTACTTTACAAAACCAAACTTGAGAAATTTGCAAACCCTTTAACCTTTTTCATCTGTGGAAAGCATGGTGGGTTCAGCTCCGGACCCCTCAGGGTCAGTTCGTATATGACTTGCAGCTAGACTAGCCCACTGTGAGACCCACCTTGGACCACCAACTACAACCAAGTCATCTGGTAGTGCCTTTTAAAAGGGAAATTGACTGAAGTAAATGATTGGTACAGTTTGGAAACTTTTGTACATAATGGATATTCATTGTATATATAGCAATTTATGCTGATAAACAATACCTCTGCACCAACATAGCCAGTTTGTCTGGTTTCCATGGCTCCAGATCTTGGACATATGGTTCCTCTATCTTTCTGGTGTTTTGGAAAACGCAGCTTTGTCAGTGCTTGGTTATCTTCCACACCAAAAACCTAAACCCAATCAGATTGATCATCTGCACATCCAGATCTAACAATTTTCTGTATCACACATACACACAAACAACAACTAAATCTTATGCTTCTGCAGGTTTACCTTATCAATCATACGCCTGGCCTCTTCCACCTCAGCACTGCCATTTTCCAGCTCGATGGTGTAGGTCCCTCTGTCGCTTTGGTCATCTATATGCCCTCTATTCGGAGTCTCTTGAGACCCAGTGCTTTGCTCTCTAGGCACGTTGGTCTTCTGTGGTGAAGAACGGCTAGATTTTTTGCTAACTTCCCCCCCTATTGGTGCCATCTTTCTAGCTGCAGATGATGGTTTGTACTGGAAGAGATCCTCCCTCCCACAGACAGGGCCTTCTGTCCTCTGCACGGCCTGCCTTCCTTTGTAGCGCTCCTGCAGAAATGTCCTGCGGCTACTGAGTTGCTCTCCCAGTGCATTCTCTGTGTCACTCTGTGTGCCATCCTCATGCTTACTGCCTGAGAAAGAATGGGACAAACATTAAGGAGTAGAGCCCGTGACATTTAAAAGGCATTCCATCTTTTATAGGTCAAAGACTTGCTTAACGTTTATTAAAAATACAGTTGTGTGAAAAAGTATTTGCCCCTTTACTGATTTCTCATTTTTTGACTTGTTTGTCACACCTTAATGTTTCAGATCATCAAACAAATTTAAATATTAGTCAAAGATAACACAAGTAAATGCAGCATGCAGTTTTTATTATCAAGGAAAAACAAAATACAAACTACAAAGCCCTGTGCGATCTCTATCAAACCATGAATCTAGCTGGTAAACGTGTAGACATGGTTTATGAATTGCAGACTTTTATTAAGATTTGCACTATTTAAAAGGAATTATTGTAGTTGCTGTAGCCTAATAGTCACTTACCTCACAGATTTAGCTTAGCCATAGAACAAATAACACAAGTTCTAATAAATCGAATTAATATTAAGCAAACACTTAATAATTAATGGGATTAGAATGTTATATTATTGCATTTAATCGATTATGCTTAAAAAAAAAACGTTAGCATTGGGTTTGTAAAACTAGTTTTTGGTGTAGTTACTTAGTTTTGACCAGCAGGTGTCCACATTTTGTGATGTTTTGAATACTGGTATATTTTATTTTATTTTGCAAAGTGGTTCGTTCAAACGATTCAAAGTTTTGGAAAATGCTGTCACTATAAAAGTCACTATATAAAAGTACTTGTTAGTGAAATATTTGTATCCTAATAGTGTTTTTACTAACGTGGCACATGCAAACGTGTTTTTGGGTTTTGTCACCACAAGAGATTGTGGAAGAAAATGTAACCAAATTGCATAGAAAATGTCCAGCAGAAAGCTAAAAAGACCAGGCCGTATAAATAAGATACAAAAATGTACAAAAATTAACAAAATTTAAGCTGCTAATCATAATCTAAATGAGGCAAGTCACTGTTTAACTATGGTTTGTTCTGTAGACTATCAAAAAAATACAGTATAGCTTAAAGGGGCTAATAATTTTGACCATAAAATGGTGTTTAAAAAAGTGAAAGCTGAAATAAAACAAATAGAAATTTATCCTGAAGAAAAAATACTATCAGACATACTGTGAAAATTTCCTTGCTCTGTTAAACATCATTTGGGAAATATTTAAAAAAGAAAAAGAAAAAAAGAAAAGAAAAGGGGGGCTAATAATTCTGACTTCAACTGTATACTGTATAAATGTACACATGCACACATATCTTTTTTTTTTTTTTTTAACTTTTTACAGTGTTTGGCTGTCATTTATGTATTTTCGTTCTTTTTTATTTTATAAAAAGATAAATTATTTAATGTATTTGTGTGGATTTTTATGAAAATTTACATTTAATGTACAGTAAACACTAACACTACCAGTCAAAAGTTTGGGGTCAGTTTCTTCATGTTTTTTTTATTTTTATTTTTTTTAAGAAAAGTATTCTCTTCATCAAGGAGGCATTTATTAAATGTAAAAAAAAAATGTTAAATTGTTAAATATTTATTACAATTTTATATAACTGCTTTCTTATTGTATTTACTTTAAGATGAAATTACTCCAGTCATTATTGCTTTTATTACTATTACCATTAATAATAATATAATAATAATAATAACAATAATAATAATAATGATGATGATGATGATGATGATGATAATAATAATAATAATAATAATAATAATAATAATAATAATAATAATAATAATAATAATAATAATAATAATAATAATAATAATAATAATAATAAAAGTTAATAGGGATTTCTTAAGGATCATGTGACTGAAGACTGGAGTAATGAAGCTGAAAATTCATCTTTAAAATCACTGGAGTAAATTATTAAATTAAATTATAAAATACTTTTGAACAGTTATTTTATAGTGCAATAACATTTCACAATTTTACAGCTTCTACTGTATTTTGGATTAAATAAATGCAGGCTTGGTGAGCAGGAGAAGCTTATTTAAAAACATTTAATGATCCTACTGACCCCAAACTTTTGACCGACAGTGTATATATAGTATAGAAATTATTCATACCCGTGCTAAATTGTGACCTAAAGTTACGTTTATTCAACCAGCAGGGGTTTTTTGATTGGGAATGATGCAGACTTTTCCCAAAAGATAATAAGCCGATGTACAAGAGGCATAATTGTTAAAAAAAAAAAAATAATTCTCAGCCTTTATTTACATTTGAACAAAAATTTTGAGTCAGAATTTGCCAGAGGTATGAATAATTTTGGCCTTGACCACATTTTCTCGAAAATCCACAAGAATACAAAAAAAAGTAATTTTTCAAAATCACCAATTAATCTTTGTTTTTCTGCTTCAGCTGCATTACACAAATAGATCAGTAACTCCTTCACCTTTACCTCTGAGGCTCCTCAGCTGAACCGGCACATCACTCTTCACGCTGTCTCCATCCTCCTCAGCAACAGATTCAGAGCGGGCTATTGGCAGTTCATTCTGTGCCAGCCAGTCTGCCACCTTTACCTCCGCTGCCACCATGGCAGCCTGCAAGGCACTCAGCTCCTCCCCGGCCCCTCTTTTGGGCCGCGGGCGAAGGTCTTGGTTACTCTTCGAAACTTTGTTTCCCTTCCCTGAAGCCGCTGTGTCAAACTCAATAGTGAAGGAGGCATGTCCGTGAGTGCCACCTTCCAGCGCCGGGGTTGTCAAAACTGCTTCTGAGCTTGCTTGTAGACTTTCTCTTGTTTCTTCCCCTACTGGAGGAGTCTCTTTACTGGGGATCTCAAAGTAACTTGGTTCCTGGGTTCCCAAATTCTGTGTGGTTTCTGGTCCCATCTGCGACTTTGTAGCTGTTTCTTTACGGCCTGAGTGAAGACATATCACGAGCAGACTATTGAAGTTGACCACAAAGGGTAAATCTACATGGAGATCAGTAATCTAAATGTTTACATTATTTCGAATAAGACAATATTATGATTAGGTTATGTTAAATTTGCGATAAGATGTTCCTTTCATTTTCACTAGATTAGTTAATGGCACATACCCACAACATCCAATCCCATATAGTCTGGCCAAAATAATAATAATAAGAAGAAGAAAAAGAAGATTTTTTTTTTCTTTGGCTTTGTCCTTTATTTATCAGGGGTCGCCACAGCGGAATGAACCGCCAGCTATTCCAGCATATGTTTTACGCAGCGTATGCCCTTCCAGCCCAACTGGGAAACACCCATACACTCTCTCATTCAGACACTTACTCATACACCACAGCCAATTTAGTTAATCCAATTCACCTAGCGCATGTCTTTGGACTGTGGGGGAAACCCACTCCAACATGGGGAGATGCAAACCAGTAACTTGTTGTGAGATTACAGTGCTAACCACTGAATAACAAAATAACAACAAACAATTTATTTTTAGGGTGGGCGATGCGGCGGCGCAGTGGTAAGCACGTTCGCCCCGTAGCCAGAAGGTTGCTGGTTAGAGCCTCGGCTGGGTCAGTTGGCATTTCTATGTGGAGTTTGCATGGGTTTCCTCTGAGTGCTCTGGTTTTCCCCACAAGTCCAAAGACATGTGGTACAGGTAAATTGGCTGTGCTAAAATTGAGCGTAGTGTATGAGTGTGTATGTGTTTCCCAGTGATGGGTTGCAGCTGGAAGAGCATCGCAGCAGCTGCGTAAAACATATGCTAGATAAGTTGGTGGTTCATTCCGCTGTGGCGACCCCAGATTAATAAAGGGACTAAGTCGAAAAGAAAATGAATGAATGATATATTTAAGGTAAAATATTTATTGTCGAAATCAATACCAAAATAAATTGATCAATAAATTATTGTAAACTTTCTTGTCTTGGTGTATCTTCAAAGTCACGTTATTTTTTTGCATGTAAACCAGAACAACATTTTATTTCATTAATAACATGAGTTATGTGCATTTATTACACAGCTGTGGAAAAAAAAACTTAATTTTGATTGGTCAGTCACAACATTCCAAGATATGTTATTGAATACATTCACATCCACATATTTAATATCCAAATTTATATGTATTAATAGTATCTGGTTGCAGCCTTGATGATGCAAGCCAAGTATCTGTTTATCTATCATGCAGCGGGTTTGGCGGTTTGGCGCCATCTTGTGACTGAAAATGTGCAGGTTCTTGTATGCTCCCTCAGCTTCACTCGACGGTTTTCGTTGCTTTTTTTGACTGTTTGGGTCCATATTGTGACTGAATAATGCGCATGTTAGTTGCTTCTATCAGCTTTGTGTTCAATTTAAAAATTAATAAACGATTACAGCTCTGAACAATGTTTTGTATGTAACTGTTTGTTTTGTGGCAAGTAGCTGTGTAAAAGGCAGGATAAAGTACATCAAGGATGGTGGTTTTTGTAGAATAATATCCTTTAACGTTAGTCTTATACAACAGATAAGCCTGTCGGGATGTATTTCACGATATCAACCTCCTCGATGTACTTTATCACTAACAAAAATGTGCTCAATGTCTTACCTGCTTCACATCTAGCTTGCTTTGCATCGTGTTTAATAGAATTTTCATCATCTGCATCTCCATCACCCCACCAAGATGGCTGTCCGTAAAGCGGGGTTCCTCTGTGGAGCACAGCTATGTCCCCTAATGAAAGTTTGATATTCTTTTGAGTTTGGTAAGTTACATTTGACACTTATTAAATTTGTTTAAATCCTTATGCTCACCTGACACCTTCTCTTCTGTCTTTGGTGCTGGTTCTGATGGTCTAACCTCAGTCTCTTTTCCTCCTTCTGCTCCTTTGACTTCTGGACTTTTGGTGGTTTCTCCTGATGGCGAAGGCTTCTTGGTGAGCTGAAGCTGGCTGGTGTACTTTTCATGCTGTCCATGAAGGTGAGTGTAGGAAATTCAAGAGAGAAAACTATTATATACTATAGTCCAATACTGTAGTTTTCAGTGATATTGATCAAATATAAATTAACAATGTTTGAATTAAGTCTTTTCGAAGCACCTTTGCTCAATTTATTTGATAAAAAACATTTTTGTTTTTATCAAAGTTGTTACTAAATATTTTTGAAAACAATTTTTTACTTTTTAACAATTAAATTTTTTTTTACTTTTTAACACAAAACTTAAAAAAGCAGCATTTTGATATATTTAATGCATCCCTACATGTGAAAAATATGTATTTTGATATCAGCCTTTATTATCCTAATAAACTAAAATAAAATAAAAATAAATAAATAAAATTAGATTAAATTAAACAATTTTCTTTTCGGCTTAGTCCCTTTATTAATCAGGGGTCGCCACAGCGTAACGAACTGCCAACTTATCCAGCATATGTTTTACGCAGTGGATGCTCTTCCAGCCACAACCCAACACTGGGAAACAACCATACATTCACACACATACAATACGGCTAATTTAGCTTACACAATTCACCTATAGCCAGGTCCAGACAGAATCTGTGGACGTTTTTTGCTCTTTCTGCAGATAATTTTGGTAAATATCTGCGGATTTCTGCGGAATTATTTTGGGTGTATTGAGCAAAGTATCATAACTAAAGCCTTAATATATGAAATAAAAAGTAATAAATTACTGAATAAAAACTAAATAAATATAGATTTACACATTTACTCAAGTAATTAAACAGAATTAATGATGGGCTAAAAATCTGCAGAAATCTATGGAAAATCTGCGCACGCAGATTCTGCGTGGGCCTACCTATAGCGCATGTTTTTGGACTGTGGGGGAAACCAGAGCACCTGGAGCAAACCCACGCAAACATGCAAACTCCATACAGAACTGACCCAGCCCAGACTCGAACCAGCGATCTTCTTGCTGTGAGGCGATCGTGCTACCCACTGCGCCACCATGACGCCCAGTAAAATAAAATAAAATAAAATAGCTATAGAATAAAGTTAAACAGCTCTGAAAATTCTTCTTTCTTTGGATTTATTATTCATATTCTTAATAAATAATAATTTATTATTCTATATCTTAATATAACATATTTGACACAATATATCAATGACTGTAAAAAATATGGACGACGCGACAGCCCCTTTTCCCATTGAACGCCTTGAGGGCAAGACGCCTGCTTGACGGGCACAAACTGTCGCAAAAGACTGCTGAAATTGGAGCCAGACATGCGCAGAAGGACTGTCTGATGGAGCCAGAGGAGGAGCCGCGAAAATGAGCGGAGTCGAGCTTCCAATCAAACGCTTTATGTAAAATCAACCACGCCCCCCGAACTGCTCAGCATGCGTTTGCTGTCATATCAACACAGATGGATGTAATAACGTTAACAAATATGAGGGTTTTATATATTCAATCGCGCCAGCTCCGGGCCGCAGCGCATCACCTACTCGCGGCGTCGCGGACTGATTCCGGCTCGCATGCGGCAGCGCCTGCTCGCTCGGCCGCCGCATCTGGCTCGATTGACTTGGGCTGGAATTGGGTAGTGAGTCCAGGCATCCGGAGTAGGTCCAGCAGAGGTAACATTAGTCAGTCTGAGCTCTAAGAGATAAGTCTCCGGCAGGCGAGAATCTAGCCGGAACTGTGTTTTGCTATCTGGGTGGTTAGGCGTGTATCAGCAAACTAATAAAGCCCGAAAAAAGCCCTGACCTTAGCGAATAAACAGTGTTCCACCAGATCATGTATGTCAGAAACTATAGTTTACTGCTGAACTCATTTTGTCATGGTAAAATAACACAGAAATCGAATAAAAACACTTCAGTCTCCTGCCGAAGCTCAGACGCCGCGCTTTGAGAAACTGTCAATCACAGCTGTCAATCACGATGACACGCCCAGCATTAAATTACTGCTAAAAACAAACTGTTTACAAAAATGAAGATCTGCACCTATTTCAGCACAATAACCAGTGCCTTAATCCACCAGAACTATCTTTCGGGACATTTTATTGCAAGTGTAATATTTTTTTTTATTTGGGCTCAAGTTTCCTTCATTAACACGGAGGAGGCGGGCTTTATGACTTGTACTGCAGCCAGCCCCCAGGGGGCGATCTAACGGCCGAGACCTTCACTCAAACGCAGGCTTGCGGCACACTTGCAATATATACATTCAACATTTGATATGTATATATATATTTACCTTCAGCGCTTCCTCTGGAACATGTAGCTCTCCACGTAAAACGGTAAACAGGTTGGTATGTAAGATAGGTTAAAGAAAAACAATATACAGAGACTTAAAAATGCATAGATATATTTGGACTATTCACAATAAAAAACAACACATTTTGGTCTTTTAGATTGTACACGTGGCTAATATGCTATTTTTAGTTTGTACAAACCAACAAAAGTGAACCAAAACAAAAAATAAATAAATAAAAAAAAAGTGATTTATTTATCAGCTCAAAGGATATCATAGCCGAACCGCAGCTTGTCCCCCATTTTCAGAGTAATGTACTGCTGTTCCAGGATGCGAACATCATTGACAAATGTCTACAGGAGAGAAAAAGAGGTCAGCCGCCACCATAACCTTTTCATTATTACAATAAAAAATATAGTCTCTATTGTAAACAGGTACATTTCTCACCCCGTTCAGACTCCCCAGGTCTTTAACTTTATGTTCATCTGTAGCTTCTTCATAGTTGATGACAGCATGCTGTTTGTCTACACTGCGAGACTGGAATATGAGAGAAGTTAATGGTAAAGTGGGACCAGTGATCTGATGTTAAATAGATATGTGGAAAGATGACACAGTCTTTGAATTTTTAAAAAACTTCTGCATGGCACTTCACACAAATAGAGTTAATAAGAAATATAATAATACATGTAAATATGGCCAGAAACTCTGAAAATATAAGTATTTTAGGCAATGCAGTATCTGTTATATTTATTAGTTGAAGTCAGAATTATTAGTCCCCCTTTTAAATTTTTTTCTTTTTTTTAAATAGTTCCCAAATGATGTTTAACAGTGCAAGGAAATATTCACAGCATGTCTAATAATATTTTTTTTCCTTCTGGAGAAAGTCTTATTTGTTTTATTTCAGTTAGAGTAAAAGTAGTTTTTAATTTTTTTTAAAAACATTTTAAGGTCAAAACGATTAGCCCCTTTAAGCTATACTTTTTTTTGATAATCTACAGAACAAGCTATCGTTATACAATAACTTGCCTAATTACCGTATTCTGACTAGTAAACCTAATTAACCTAGTTAAGCCTTTAAATGTCACTTTAAGCTGTGTTGAGGTGTCTTGAAAAATATCTAGTGAAATATTATTTACTGTCATCATGGCAAAGATAACATAAATCAGTTAATAGAAATACGTTATTAAAATTATTATGTTTAGAAATGTGTTGAAAAAATCTTCTCTAAGTTAAACAGAAATGGGGGGGGGGGGGTAAACAGGGGAGCTAATAATTCAGGGGGTTTACTAATTTTGACTTCAACTGGATTGCTTAATTAAATTTTTCAACCAACTTTTCTATAAATTAAAGAAAAATCCTTCTCGTAACAAGCTTGATTTGGTAAGCAAAAAAAAACATTTGGCTACGTTTATGGCATGTTAATATTGTGTTTCATAACTTAAAAGCTCTTAAAGGAATACACCATTTTTTTTGGAAATAGGATCATTTTTCAATATCATTGTACATGTAAAAGCTGCAAACAAACAGCAGCAACTTTCCTTGATTATTACACGTTTTTCAACCCAGGCTCATTCTGAAAACGTACCCCTCTAATATGCTAATGGTCTAATCCGATTTAATGATCTACACAGAGTTGTCCAAACTCGGTCCTGGAGGGAGGTGTCCTGCATATTTTAATTCCAACTCTGATTCAACACACCAGAACCAGCTAATCAAGCTCTTTCAAAGTATACTAGAAACTTCCAGCGGGGTGTGTTGAGGGAAGTTGGAGCTAAACTATGCAGGACACCGGCCCTCCAGGACCATGTTTGGACACCCCTGATCAACAATATGCTAAGTTAAGCTAAAAGTGCTCCTGCTAGGCCCGGAGGTCTGGCTGAATGATTTAAGAATGCTAAAACTCTGGGGTAGCTGTAAAATTAAACTATTTCCAAAAACGTGGAGCTTGTTCCTTTAATGAAAAATCATTTGGTGACATAAAGTTGTGGAAAGTGACAAATACAATAAGCATAGACTGAAAAAAAAATTATTGGATTTACCTAACTTTTTTGAGTGGTTGCAAACTATTCATATGGGCTGAATTTAAACTAACAAATTACATTTTGTCATGTTCAACTTAATTAGCCCATAAACAGTGTTTACAACCACTGACCTTAAAATATTTAGTAAATCCATTGAATCTTTTTTCATTGTACTATATAGTTATAGATCCAGTAAGTACTGACTATAAACTTAAATGGACGATGACATTCTGCTACATTCTTGTGTACGTATGTGTAACAGTGATTGAGTTACCTGGAGCATAAGCTCACAGTCATCCCGTCCCACGAAGATCATTTCTCTGGGAAGGCGGTGCCTTATTCCCCCTCCACTCACCAAGAACCAGGATGTCAAACTCATCTTGACTGAACCAGGCCTCCTCTTTTGCTCCTGATGTCTCTCTCTAGGCCATTCTGTTGAGAGGTTGGATGCATTGAAAGGATAGAAAGAAAAAAGAATAAAAAAATAGCAACTATTCACTTTCCCCCAAGTGGTTCCAATCTTTTTTTTCTGTTGAACACAAAAGAAGATAATTAAAAAAAAGCTAAAAATCTGTAACCATTGACTGCGCAAAAAACGTGCTGGATAAATTGGCGGTTCACTCTGACCCCAAATTAATAAAGAGACTAAGCCGCACAGAAAATGAATGAATGAATGAATGAATGAATGAGTAGAAAAATATACTGTATATATATATTATGGAAGTCAATGGTTACAGGTTTTCATCTTTCTTTTAAAATATTTTGAGTTCAACAGAAGAAAATAACTCAGAAGAGTGCGTAAATGATGACAGAATTTTTGTAAATATATTGATTAAGCTTAGTCTTAAAGGTGGTGTAGGATAGACTCCTAGTGGTTGAACTAGATATTGCAGTAAAAATTCACAATAATAAAGAGGTTTTTTTTTATCTAGCCCGCACTCTGATGACTGGACACACATGCAGGCTGCCAGATTGATGACACAGGAACGAGTTTGCCTGACAGTCAAGCCTTACAATGTAAAATACTCAGCAAATGTTTTTGTTTGTAGTATCTTTATTATTTCCTAATTTTAAAAAAACCCTTCCCATGTGGATTTTTATAACTCTGTACCTGCTTCTCATTTCGGTTTCATGGTGACTTAAGGGGAATAATATAATTTTGTGGAAGCAAATTCCTCCATTCCTAATGAAATCTGTTACTCAGCAGCAGACAAGCAGCTGACTCTCCTTTAACAACTTAAACAATGAACCTCTTTTCACTCTAAAAGGATGGAATCAGGGCCTCTTCTTTAATACTTTCAATATTTTAAAGCTGTTCACTACACCAAAGGGATAGTTCACCCAAAATAAACATTAGCCTCTAATGTACTGTACTCACTTTTTTTCAAATTTGGTAGAACATTGATAAAAAAAAAAATAGGTAATGCAAATCAAACAGAATTATTACCTGAAAATTATATTCATGTTATTTACAACTACCAAAGAAATCCTGTGGCATAATGATGAATGCATGGATTCGAGCTCAAACATGTGCTAATGCTGTTAGTTCACAATTGTGAGGGAAAATTTGTGCATTGAAGTGCTCTTCAGAATGAAACTTGTGGCACAAGATGCTGAAAACAAATTCAAAATATTTGTCAGCTTGCGTCCCATATAAAAAATGATACATGTAAATATATGCAAATTACGCAATAAACAATTTCACACACCCACATTTGATATATGCAATCTATTGTGCAATATTGCAAAAAGGGTTTCTTTCATATATTTTTCCAGCCTTTGTTTTTACAGTTATGTACATACTGTACAGCAAGGACCACCAAACTTGTTCCTGGAGGGCCAGTGTCCTGCAGATTTTAGCTTTAACCCTAATCAAACACACCTGAACAAGCTAATCAAGGTCTTACTAGGTATACTTGAAACACTCAGGCAGGTGTGTTGAGGCAAGTTGGAGCTAAACCCTGCAGGGCACCTGACTTCAAGGAACAAGATTAGTGACCCCTGCTGTACAGTATATGTTCAAATACATTCTATAAAATTATATGCATGTTCATATTTATTTATATATGAACACATACCTAAAATTACAGCTAATATATTTGAATATACTGTATGTGTACATATTTATAATTCCAATAATTTGTAAATACAAATATATAAGCAGCAATTTTTGTTACGTTTTGAAATACAGTGTAAGTTCTATATATAACATATATTTTATAAATGTGAAATTTAAATATTACCTATATTTGATATATGTAATTTGCATATATTGTCATATATCAGATTTCTGCACAGTGTGAAATTGATAAAAGAAAATAGTTTGTCATCCAGTCTTTTACATCTGTAATACACTCAGTTAGCTTAGACAGTTTGAATATCTCATCAGGTTTTGTTGAAATGTATAATTGAGTATCATCTGCACAGCAGTGAAAACTGATCCTGTGCCTTCTAATGTCTCCCAGGGCAGCATGTATTTAATGAATAGCAAAGGACTTAAAACTGATCATTGAGACACTCCATGCTTCACTGGCCTGACTTTTGCAATTGGCCATTTTTATTTACTGACAGTGGTCGGTTAATATGACGTAAACCATTTTAAAGCCTGTCCCTGGACACCTGTAGAATTTAGATGAAAGTAATATTATTTAAATATTTACTCTCTAAAGTTAATTTGATTATGGAATAAAGTTCATCGTTACCTAATGAGTAATAATTGTCTTATGGACTTTTCCTGAATGAGTAGAACTGTAATGAAAATGTGCCTCTCTGCTGTTTTCTGCAACTCAGGTTCATTCTGAAAACATACCCCTCTGTACATTTCTGGAGAGCACCAAATACATCCCAGGAACTACGTTTTTTTTTCTTTTCTTTTTTTTCTTTTTCTTTTTCTTTTTTTTTGTTGCAGTTTTTGTTTTCGCAAATCCATCAGAGGCTGCTGTCGACTGACTGACTGACACACCCTCCTCCTTCCCTAAACAAAACTAATAGTGATTTCAAAAGCACTGATTTCAAAAGCACTGAAGCCCACCCACTTCTCCAAACCCAACCAACAGTGTTTTCAAAAGCAATCCAGAAAAAGAAAAGCCCACGTGGCAGCCTGATTTTTACCCCGTTTTCAGATTTTATCACGTTCTCACCCTGCTTTTTACTTTTTTATTTTATTTTTTGGCTCTAAAGCCGTCCACATGGAGGTAAGTGGTCAGCTGATAAGCGTGAAAAGGAACGTGTCTTACTGCCCCGTAGCATTTTAAAGACGGAATGCAGCCATATGTTCTCTTGGCTACTTAATTTGTGATCTCCAGAAATGTATATAGAGGTACGTTTTGAGATTGAGCCTATGTTGGTTTTCTGTATTTTTTCAGAAATAAAGTGATTCTGCTGTGAGTCTGTTGTAGTAGACTGTGCTTATTTCACTATTCTGATAAGAAGCCTGCTACAGTGTAAGTCAACTTTAAAGTACCAACACTTCTGCTATGTGTGTGTTCAAATGACTATGCGTCACGTCTGGTCATCTTCTCTCCAAATAGCCTTCTGGATGACCTGCTTTGTCTGACCTCTGCCTGCTGTCGCCTAAATAATCGTGAAGATATACTTCAGTTATTGCGTCTATGTGGTGAGATTGCTTACGTTTATCTATGTTTCGACCAAGCAGGATCTTCCTACCTAGACTTATGACGTAGTCAGTGACCTTCTAGAGTGTAATTGTTGTTGATTTCAGACTGTACTCTTTGCGAGTGTTGAAGCTGATGAAACGGCAAACTATTTTCTTCATTAAATGTAGCTTTATTTAATTGTGACTCTTGGAATTTGTTCATCAGACCAATTTCTTTGGTTTAACTGGGTTCTTGGAGCTTTGTGTGATAACAGTTGAACTGCTGAGTGCGTTGACAATGTTTTTGGTTTCTCTTCTGGACTTTGAACGTGTCAGGACCGTTGCTGTACATGGAGGATCAGAAATCTCTCATATTTCATCTATAATATCTATGCGCTCAGAAGATGAGCAAAGATCTCAGGGTTCGGAACGACCAGAGGGTGAGTAATTAATAACAGAATTTTCTTTTCTTTTTTTGGGGGGTGAACTAAGCCTTTAATTATCATCTGACATAGCTTACATGCTAGCTAGTTTGAAATACTACTTCAGTTAAAGTTTTGAAGATATTCTATATTAACTTAATTTAGAACCAGGGTAAATACCTACTTTTGGAAATATACCTGTGATTGATTGATTGATTGATTGACAGATCGATTGATTAATCGGCTGATTGATTCCCAGCAGGTACACAACATCATAAGAAGTTAATATTAGGTTAGATTTAGATCATGACGTTAGGTGACCAAACTTCAATGTCTAGTCAGGGTCTAAGGACAACGTTACTTTGACGTCCAATAACGACGTCAAATTACATTGATATTTGGTTAATTTTAGATTGTGTTGGAAAGTGACCAAAATTCAACATCTGATTAGATGTCATAGTGGTAACGTCCACACAATGTCAAGGTGTAACATGCTAGACATTGATATTTGGTTGATTTTAGGTTAGACATTACGTTGGGTTCTGATGTCAATCTGATTTTCATTTCCAAACAAAATCCAACATCCCCACGAAGTTGTTGACATCCTGTGCCTTAACATAATTCTTGTTCAGCTCTGTACTAAATGAGGCTATACTTTATTTTAGCCAGCTCTTTGATTCTGAATTTTAACAGTACATTCTCAGAAAGAAAGGTAGGAGAGCTGTCACTAGGGTGGTACCTTTTCAAAAGGTACACATTTGCACTTAAAAAGTCCATATTATTACATCAGGGATATATATTAGTACCTAAAATGTACAAAATTGTACCTCCTAAATGCTTTAGGTACTAATATATACTTTTGAGGTACCAATATAGATCATTTAAGTACAAATGTGTACCTATTGAAAAGGTACCACCAGCTCTCCTTTATTTCTGAGAGTGTACAGAAAGAGACTCAGAATGACAGAAGCAAAATCCACAAGAAAGGCAATAAATATCAGGGATCCTGACAAGAACATGATGCATAAATTATATCAATAAGCAATGCATTTACAAACGTCGATCGACCAAATTCACGTCGATATAACGCGAGATGTTCCGATCTCATTTAATGCAAAATTCCATTCGTATATAAGCTTCATTTACGGCTAATTTTCTTTTAGGTAAATGTAGCATGTTTTTTTTTATCTGAGCTGGAATATTTAGGTTATAATCACACATGCTGAGTGAATATGCATCATCATCATCATCATCATCTAAGCAACGCATCATTTGCGTGTGAGCGGAGCGTCAGTCTCCGCCTCTGCCTTCAAGCACTGGCCTTGTTCTTCACCGGTAATGACAGATCTGATGTTTATTCTGAGAGACAGTCGCTCACTCTACACCCTTCGCATATTCTGATAGCTGTTTTAAAGGCATAACGATGCGCATTTACTCACAGTACGCAATATTTTGCTCAAGAGGAGAAAACCTGAAAATCGACGCATACAAAGGCCTAAATATTTTTCTAATAACCGTGCTTCTGTTTTCATCACGTATCATGCCCTGTCACAGACCTCCAGTCCGTAATAGGCCGGATCGGTAGCATGTAGAGCTCATGACAGCTAATTACCAATTTCCATCAAGCGAAATGTTTGCTGCTAAAATTAAAAACGAGTCAAAATCTGTCTGTTTTTGTGAAAATAGGACGCATCACTTACCTAATAAATCCCAGTATGTTTATTCCATAAATGACATCCGTGCGCTCTTGTGCTCGGAGCGGCGCGCTCTGCCCAGCCCAGTCTGAGGTGCAGCTGCGCGTCTTGACGCACGGTGGCGCTGCGGTGTCAAGAAAGAACAAGATGACAAGCGCTCCCTGTGGTCAGCAGCATTATTTTTATCACATGCTTGCGCTAATTTGTATCTAATTTACAGATTTATTAATTTATCTAATTTATTTTATTTATTTTATTTATTTTATTTATTTTATTTTATAAATATAGTTTGCAACCACTTACCTTTAAAAAATTAAACAAATCCAATGAATCATTTTTTCAGTGTAGCCTATTCTTACTCCTAAATGCTGAATAAATGTAAATTAATATGTCTTGAATGTTTATTTGGTTATAAGCCCTATATCGATGAAGCAGTTCATCCAAAGGCTTAATCTTTTACTCACTCGGGTGTTTCCAAATCTTTACAAATTTCTTTCTTCAGTTGAACACCGAAGAAGATATTCTGAAGAACGCTGGAAATCTGTAACTATTGACATCCAAAGCAGGAAAAACTAATATTATTGATGTCAATGGATATCAGTGTCTTTTGTGTTCGAACAGATGAAACAGAAAAAGTGAAGGGTAAGTATGACAGACTTTTTAAACTATCCTTTTTCATGTAACTATAATCAGGATTTCTGTAAACCCCAGCTGTTGGCCACCTATTAAATGAACAACATGATAGTACACTGAACACTAGATGGCGAAGTTGTACGTGACAGTCGAGATTTCCCCCCCAAAGAACTGTCAACAATAAACCTTTTCAATATCGGAATGCATGCATATTTATATTTATATATTGTTCACATGCTTGGTCATAAGTTCAGGGAAAAAGCAGATTTTTTTGTTTGTTTTGTTTATCACTGTGTATTTTATTCCTATATGGGACATTTTTTTCAGCATCAATCTTTATTTATTTGATTTGTCATGGATTATTGCATTTTATTTATTAATTACGTATTTATTAATTAATTTATTTAGTTAGTTAGTGTTTGTAACTTTAAGGTTTTATGTTGACATCTGCATGTAATGGTAATTAATTTTCCTAACACTCTAAGCCTGTATAAGTTGAGTTTATTTAAAAAATAAGAGGAAACTAGTTGCCCTAAAAATTTTAAATAATATATACTTAAAAACTTGAGGGAGCTCTACTTAAAAGATAAGAGTTGTTCTAATATGTATTATAAGTTATATGCACTTAATGATTTTAAGTAGTGTCAGTTTACTCCACTCATCTTTTTAAGAGCATTAAAATAAACACAGAGTTGTTTTATTTAAATTTCCTTTCAAAGTACAGCAAAACAATGTAAATGCTACGCAATACAACTTAAAAATCAGTTTGTCTACTTTTCTCTTAAGTGCATCTACTCAAACAAGATCGAATAACATTGACCCCCAGTTTTAAATGCTCACAAAATATGTTGTTAGGATTCTGTCCTCTTTATGTCCGTTTATGTTGTTTGTTAATAGGTTACATTACTTGATCATGCCTGCTTAGCACTAGTCTGGAATTTCTGACTTCAAAAAAATATCATGATCCAAAATGCAGTTTGAGTTTTCTGATTAGCATGCTAATTAAACAACCCCATTTGAGTAAGTTTTACCCCAGTGTTTTAGTGTCCAGTGGCAACTTTTCTATTAAAAATAATGTTTATGTATTGACATTTGCAATAATAATAATAATAATAATAATAATAATAATAATAATAACAACCCATTTTTAAAATAGCGTTAACCTGTTATTAGAGTAAATATAATAAATTTTGAGTAGGAAAAAACACACACAGTTGAAGTCAGAATCATTACCCCCCTTTGATTTTTTTTCTTTTTTAAATATTTCCCAATTTATGTTTGACAGAGCAAGGACATTTTCACAGTATGTCTGATAATAAGAAAATCTTATTTTTTTATTTCGACGAGAATAAAAGCAGTTTTTAATTTTTTAAACAGTATTTTAAGGACAAAATTGTTAGCCCCTATAGGCTATTTTTTTCCAATAGTCTAAAGAACAAACCATTTTAACTTGCCTAATTACCCTAACCTGCCTAGTCAACCTAATTAACCTAGTTAAGCCTTTAAATGTCACTTTAAGCTCCAAAGAAGAGTCTTAAAAAATATCTAGTCAAATATTATTTACTGTCATCATGCCAAAGGTAAAGTAAATCAGTTATTAGAGATGAGTTATTAAAACTATTTTAATTAGAAATGTGTTTAAAAAAAAACTTCAGAGGGTCTAGTAATTGAGGTGGGCTTATAATTCTGACTTTAACTGTATTTGCTGGCTTAAAATGAAGAACCCAACTACTTTGATTAATTTACCCCTAATGCAATCTGTTTTATATATTTCCCAGCAGTTAGACTTAAAACAACCCAATTTGGGTAACTTTAACCCAGTGTTTTTAGAGTCCAGTGACAACTTTTATTATTAAAAACATATTAGAAATTGACATTTGCAAAAAAATAAAAATAAATAAAATGAAAAATTGAAAAGTACCTATTATGTTCTATTGGCTTAAAATGAAGAACCCAAATACTTTGATCAATTTAACCCCTAATGCATTCTGTTTTATATATTCCAGCATTGGGCTGAAAACAACCCAATTTGGGTAGTTTTTAACCCAGTGTTTTTGGAATACAGTGATAACTTTTTATTAAGAAAAAACATATTTATTTACTGATATTTGCAAAATAATAATAATAAAATAAATAAATAAATAAATAAATAAATAAATAATAATAAAATCCAGACAGAATAAATGTTTTACATAAACGCACAATACCAATATGTATTGTTGGGCAGTACCATAAATGTAAAACATTTTGTGATATTAATGTAACACATTTATTTAATTTCTAGGAAAAAACAACATCACTGAATCTAAAAATGGTCAATTTGACCTCCTTCATGCATTCATGTGTTTGGTTCCTGCATTCAATACGGACGCCTCTCTCTCTCTCTCTCTCTCTCTCTCTCTCTCTCTCTCTCTCTCTCTCTCTCTCTCTCTCTCTCTCTCTCTCTGCCCATTGGCTGCTGGGGTCCATGGTTCACATGCAGCCCATCATTGGTTTTTACGAGTCTCTCCCCCTCCCACTCGCAGCCGTCCTGCTCTCGCCCGTGTTCAGCAGATCCATGTCCATCATCTACCTCTCTGGACGGTCAAGTTCGCTGGCACGTCACGTCCGCACTTGAACTTGCAGCAGCTCAGGGGGCTTCGCTTACTTTCCATTCCTGTCTTGCATTCTCCTCCAAGAAGCCATGAAGCCCAACACAAGCGTCTTTTCGCCAGTACAAGCGTCTTTTCTGTACTATTCTCTATAATTCATGTGGGATACCCGATGCATCGCTGAAGAAGATTTTTACTCTGGACACCCTGAAGACTCTGGCGCTTCCCAATGTGAGCCCAGCTGAGACCGAGTCCAACATGTCTCGCCGCAAGCAGGGCAAACCCCAGCACTTAAGCAAACGGGAGTTTTCGCGTAAGTTACCGGAAAGTTCTGCTTTTTCTGTCTGTCTGGATTGCTCAAGTGCGTCTTGTGAAGTGCGTCTCGTGTTTTGGAACGAAGCGCGTTTTAATGTTACGCGCGAAGGTTGATTACGCATTACGCATATGTGTGTTTGTGTGTGTGTATATATAAATGCATAAATCAGACGTAATTTGTAAGCAGTTTGAAGTAATCTGCGTTCACACTCCCTTGAGGTTTTTTAAAAGCTGAAGCTTGTAATAATGAATATTAAAGAATGCATTTCTTTGCGTATGATGATTATTAACTTTTATGAGATGTATGCTTATTCAGTTTTTTCAGAAACAGAAACAAATGCAAATGTTAATTTTGAAAGTGTTTTCATTCTCATAACTTTCTTGAAAGACAAATATCAAGCTATTATTCAGTGATATAAGGTTTTCTCTTTAGTGAAACATTTTTTTAATATTATTTTGCACATAAAACTGAGGTCTTTTGTCAAACCGGTTTAAATCCCCGGAGTACCTCTCCACGCACCTCAAGTGCAGCTTCTAATTTTTGTATTTACAAATACAACATTTATTATGAATGAGAAAACCTCCACGAACTTCATACCGATGTGATTGTTACGCTTAGCTTTCACTTTAATACCTGTATTTTATCATATTTTATTTTTTGTGCTTGTTTTCCGATACGAAGTTGTGATGTGTATCCGCTAGAGGGCAGAAAAATGACAAACGAATGTCCGTTTGGGATGAGAGACACTGCTGGATGAACTTGAACTTGGTCTCTCAGCCCCAGCCTTCGCCCATTTGTTCAGTCCTGTATACATTCACAGTGTTGCTTATGTAAACATTGCTTTGGAGGACATGTGGGTCAATGACAAAGTATGTCAGAGATGATAAAAAAGGAGAACTGTGTTGCTGATCTATATTGAGACAGATACCCTGTGCTCTTAGATATGCTATTGAAAGTACAGTTTTAAAATATGGTATTCTTTTGTTGGCCACACTTTATTTAAAGGTACAAATCTCGCTATTAATGAAACTTTTAGCTCAATAAAATACTTATTTATAACTATGGTTAAGTATTGGGTAGGATTAGGGATGTACATTACGATCCTACTTTATATTTGCTAATAAAGAGCCAATATCTTAATAATTAAGTAACAGACCAGTAGTAAATAGTGGAACTTAACTACTAACTACTAGCTATTCAGATACTATTCTTGCATTTAATACTCGATGTTAAGCATTGTTGGAATAATTTAACTACATCACTGACCTGTTTGTCCTCATGGTTATTTAACATGTTGATAAATAAGCAATATTGTATCAGGTTTTGTTATCTTCAAGTATCCATAATAGTTTATTGAATAGTTTTTTAAATAATAAAAAGTCACCTGTTTACCCAGCGTACATTTTAATTAATATTGATTGTACAGTTTATTTTATTGTAAGGTACAAATATTGCTATTAACTGAAGCTTTTAGGTCAATAAAATACTAATTTATATCTAGGGTTAAGTATTGGGTGGAATTAGGGATGTAGAATAAGATCATACTTTATATGTGCTGATACTACTTTTTAT